ACTAGAAGTTTTGGTAGACTGGAAAAGTCGGTAGTAGAAAGTTTCGAATGAAGTTTTCAATTTTTACCAGCAAGTTTATATACAGTTCTTGGATGATTTCAACAATAAGTATCTTTACAATCATAATCGCAATCATCGTCATCATCTTCTTCAGGCTGGCTTAGCCAATTGCTATAGTTGTTCTCATTGTTCGATTCGGGTCTTTTAAAACCCATTGTTTCGTCAGGATGTTTACCATTGTCATTGTCATCATGACCCTTAATTTCACGTACCATGTCTTCAATTTCATTAGCTCTTTTCAACATTTCAAACCATTGATAGAGGGGAAGATTAATCCCCTTTCTGCCTGGTTTATAGTCACCGTTTTCTTCCGTCTTATAATACTCTCTGATACAAACGAACAATTGGGGATACCACCTCTGAACAATAACGTGCCTGTTTTCTGTAAGAAATATACGCTTGGTAGATGTAGCAGAAACAGTGTTACTATCTAAGGGTCCCTTCATCGTTTCTTTCACAAATTTTCCATAAACTTCACTTATCATTTCTTCGATTTCTTTTATCCTTTGTAGCATTTCGTACCATTGCTTGAGAGGAAGATTAATCCCTTTTTTACAAGGTTTAAAGAAACCGTTTTCTTCCGTCATATAGAAGTCCCTTATACATACAAAGTAATCAGTCCCCCAGAGCTGAACAACAACGTGTCTTTCGTTTGTTAGGTGAATACGTTGGTTTGCGGTAACAGTTTTTCGATCCATTGCACCTTGCATGTTCTTCATTGGTTCATTCATGGAAACCATAGGTCTACTCTCAATAACAGGAATAGATATATTTTGGAGTGAACGAGGCGCTATCGTTCGGTTCGGTTTCAACTTTCTGCTTTTTGTTAGGCTGCATAACACGTCGCATAGTAGCCTTAGCCTTCTCAACAAGCTTGGAAGCGGTGTAGTCGGTGATAGGCTTGTAGAAATCCATTCTAACAGAATTTTTTATCTGAATCAAGCAGACGA